ATACGTAAAAATTACGGCAATGTTCAACTTATTTTGTGCTATAAATTCATAAAAAAATTTCATTTTATATCCAAGATTTGGAAATTTAGTACAAGGCTCCTAACATATTTTTACAATAGCAGTTGAAAGATAAAAGAAATATAGTATAGTCACAATTTTTTTTTACAAGCAATCAAATTTTAATTTTGACAACATACGTAAAAATCACAAAAATTTGCAAATTATTTTAAGCTAKAAATTCATAAAAAAAATTGTATTTTAAATCTAAGTTTTGAAAATTTTTAATAATCTATAATATATCCTAGACAGATTAACTATCTTCGCTCAGAATCGTTTTTCGTATACAATGATAATATAATATCATTGAATTCAAATTTAATTCCATCCATTACAGTAACCCATTTGTAAACTACTTTACAGCAGAGCGACATCCACTTTTTTAACTTTTTTTAAATTTGTGGTTTGTAGAAAAAAATGTAAGTGCTTTCAAAAATTATGGTGGGTTTGGTAGGTATTTATAAATTTTCCACGAAGCATACATAATGTTACACAAATGATAATAAATAAAATACGTAATATGCTACACATCTGGTATTGAACGATTAGTTTTAATAATTGTGTACACTACTACTTAGTATCTAGTATCTACTACCTATAAGGCTATAAATATYAAACTATGGAGTATAGATTAAAGACGGTTGTTATAAGTATACTTGTTTCTATATAAGTGCGTTCTTACGGCTACCATACAGTTAATAATTTAATATCAAAAACTTGGGTGGTATAAGATGTTTCATAATACAACTGAAATAATCAAATAGGTAACTTTTAAATTAAAATAAAAAGTATTATAGGTATTGCCTTAAAAGTTAAGATAAAATTTAAGTTTTTGATTTATAGAATAAAAGATTGTATTGGTAGGTATCTAGCTAGCTTAATTTTAAATTATGATAATAATATAGGTTTGAAAAAAATGAAACATTTTACTCTAGATATAAAGTTTCACTGGGAAGTACTTAACCTAAACATAATTTTTTAACAAAAAATTTTAACGGACATTTTKAATATTATATTTTTATTGAAGAAATACCCTTCTAGAATCTAAGGGAGGCCCATCGATCGCAGGGCCCTGGTCACGTGCCTAAAGTGCCCAATGGGAAAGAGGTGCCTGGTTCCAATGGAACCGAACATTTTTTAGTTTTATAATACAGAAAGAAGAGGCGCCAAAAAAAGATAATGTTTTGTCAAGTGAAAGGTAAGAACAAAAATCACATTTAATTTCACTTTCATGTTAAGTTCAGAAGGTCAGTAGAATTAATAATTAGTTACTAGACTAAAAAAGTAAATTGAAAGAAGATATTGATCAAAWCGGGGGCGAGCGAAAGAGACAATATTGTAGATACGCCTGTTGAATCCTCACCACCAGGCACCAAATTCATATTATCACACTTAAAGAGAAAATATTCTGTTCCATATTTTATACATGATGACATAATTATTAGAAAGTTTTGATTTTAAAAAGCCTTAAAAGTACATAATATTTTATTCCATATTCAAATACTTATCTAATTAATAAATTCTAAAATATATTGTACAACTATTCAATGTTATTTAGCCGAGTAGATTTACAATTTTATGGGAGGGGGTAAAATGATAAATTTCTTAATATGTACGAATTTAATATACTTTTCTTATTTATAAATAATTATAAATCATAAWACATCACATGACTAATTAAAAAAATGTTTTAAAAAGTATTTTAATGTTCCTACCAATAAAGTATAAATACTTTTAAAGGATTTTGTATTCTTTTTAACTTAAATTTTAAATAAAACCATTCAAATAAACTTAACAAAAAATGATATTTGAAAAAATATACTTTTGCGTGTCTAAAACTATTTCTTATCCACGCAAAATTAAAATTAAACCCTATTCAAGGAAACATTTCTATATGTGTAATCATAAGGTTGGTCACAGCCATAGACTTATAAGTCTATGGGCACAACACTTAGAGCTACGAGGATATAACTTTGCAATACATATATTATTATATATGGGAAGACATTGTGCATGTTAATATGTTATTTGTGTTGAATATATTATCGACTATAACATGTAATTTCACACATTTATAATATTGATTCGTTTTTAAAAAATAATTATGGCCACACGATGGCCATTCGAAACGAATTCATGTAAGGGACACAACTTGGTATTGGTTAATCATAGGCATTATAATTTATATTGATTGTTATGATATTGGAAGTGTTAATTAACAGTATTGAAAAATATAGATGGGAAACTAACGGTTTCATAATAATATACACTATAATACACTATAGGTACGCCACGTCGATACGGCCGATACGGGTAAATAAAATATAATCAATGATAGGACAAAAATACAAGAGACTTGGTGTAACATATTAAGGCATTAAGCTATTATTATTTATTATTCGGGATAAAAAAAATAAAAATAGCTTTAAGTTTTGAACAATAAAATAGTATAAATATGTAATGAGTGAAAACTTAAGAGGACGTGATACCCGCATGTAGTCTCCGCGCGTCTTATAAGTACGTAACATAACAAAAACCGTTTCACGCGGGAAAGAATTGAAAAGTCTACAGTTATAACTTTATAAATTTATAACTAAGAAACCAAATTTTCACCATGAAAAAAGAATTTTAGCTGTGTCGCAGCGTTTTTATTTTTTTGATAAGATCAATACATCAAAAGTTATTGAAGTTTGTAAAATTAAACATATCATATTTTTAAAAGTATTATAACTTATTTATTATTAATGATATCAAACAAATAAAAAGCCACGACTTAGAAAATATTATCTTTTATATTATGTCAACTTTTGGTGTTTCTATTATTCTATTTAGATTACAGACTGAGTGGTTTTATCCCTAAACAGTTTTTGCTATGTTACTAGTAAGACGGAGACAACACATATTATGTGTATCACGTCCTATTAAGTAAAATTCTTAAGCTTTAATTTATATTCGATACTTTATTTACTATAAGTCTATAACTATTTACCTATTAAATTTTTTTTTAAACTTAAACAAGAACAATTAAGTTCTAAATCAATATTGTTATATGTATTAATTACAACACATGTATGAGATATAGTAAAATTGATAAGATATATTAATTATTTTGTAATAAATTACTCTCAAATTTTAATTTTTTTAAATGTAAAAATGTAAAAATATATAATATATTATTCTTTTACTTTAGATGAGTAGTTATTTAAAATTTAGTTCTAAAAAATTCAAATGCTGTCAATTGGTTGTTGTATATTAATGCATGTACACATGTATGACCTCATTATTTGTTACGTTTATAATCATTAAAAATAACATTTAATTTAGAACTTGTTTTAAAATAATAAGTCTGCAGACTTGCATGTAGTTTCAATCGTATAAAAGTATGTTGTTTTACTTCTTTAGGTCAACCTTATTTCATTACGTATTCCTCTTCAGACTTTTTTAATAATAAAAATACATTGCTCTTATAATATTGATACAAACGAGAACAATCTTTTAGTTTAAGGTCATTCTAAGAAGAAACTATATAATTAAGAAGACGGTATACGGACATTTGTTGACTCCGTCTTACAAGTGCGTAACATAKCAAATTTTATGTTCAGCAGATAACGTTTAGTTCCGTTAATTTAAAAACTAGAGTAAATTGACCTCTTAAAAAATTTAAAGGTAAAGTATTATAAAGACCACCTCGTGAGATGTTTATTATGCTTTACTTTTGAAGCAAGTTATAAGCATTCTAAGATGTACAAACCATCTACAATTTTAAAATACTTACAATTCGCTTCAAAATTAAAACATAATAAAAAGCCCATGAGATCATCTAAACAATACTTTTAGCATATAATTTATTTTATAAGAGATCAATACATCCTACATTTCAAACTAACGAAGCTAAACGAGATCTGTTAAGCTTAAAATTTACTATGTTACGCACTTATAAGATAAAAGCAGCAAATGTGTAGCTAAAATAAAGTTAAAGAAAATGTATGTCTTTAATAACAATAATGTATACAATTATTATAATTATTTATAATGTACAAACAGTAATCACGAAACAAATCCTACTTTGAATTTAAACTACCATATTAAAATACTAGTTTTCGAGGATTAAGTTATCCTCCTGACCGTCCTGTCATAGTGTCGTTATTGTACAAATATATTATGTATAATTCAATACATTTTATATTCCTGAAACCTACCTATATTGTATATAAATATAAGACATAAATATCTATGTACAGTCCATGGGCGGATATGCCTACCGGGCTACCGGACATTTCCCGGTGGGCCCCCCTTTCGTATTTCGGTAATGAGGCYCTTTAATATCATGTATTATTAATTTTTTTTTTATTTGGGGAGGTCCTTTTTAAGATTTTACGGTAGGCCAAATATGGCCTATCCACCCATGGACTACAGTCAGGTTAGTTCTGTTAAAACTAGTACCGTCGCTAATAGGCAAGCTTAGTGATGCATATTATTTATAAATCAGTTGAAATTATTTGGTAACTTTGATTAGACCGTTTTTGTTTGTATTGTATTTGATTAATTCTAGTTTTTTTTTTCTAAAAATGCCAATAAAAAATTATTCATTCGGTCAAAAAAGTTAAAAATGTAATTCATATGGTCTTTTTTCATTCAACTCGTTCAAACTTTTACCAAAAAATTACTAATCGTTTTAGGAAAATTGGTACGCAACATACCATATTTTGCAAAACTGAATTTTTCTATGACCTATCTAGGTAGATATATTATATTATATTATTATTGGTTATTGCTAATCTGGTAAGACGTACCAACATGAATTTACGTCCATGCTTAAGAGTTAGTTGTCGACAGTTGAAACTAGATACACATTTTTAAAATAAGTAATAATAATATTGACAATGGGTAAGGGAGACCGTTAGTGTAGAGGAATAATGATAGTTAACATAGGTACAACGTACCTACCTGTTGAAGAAAAATCCAAATATGTGGTGCTCACACGTCGGTTCGGCGGCGTCGGCGTCAAAAATCCGGAGGTCGACGAAAGGGCAGCGGTTCGCATATTATATTATTTGATACACCACAGAATCACATATTTCCGAATACGGTACACGCGTGCTGTAATAATATTATGATATACAACTTGTTTGAATCGATGGGCACGATACACTTTTTGAAACGAGATAATCGCGATAACGGCTCGTTATTTAAGCAGATATACAATGTATGGCGGCGATCAATGTTACACAACACTCACCGTAAGTAACGTGCACAATATTATAATGAGTGTAAATAAGTATGTGTAATTTTGTTATTTGGTTAGTATAATATTATAATTACACGACGTGAGTATTGGCACTACACGACTGATCGATGGTGTATTACCGGGTACAACCGACGACGACGTGCATAGGTACGGAACTACATCACAAGAGAAACGCAATGACCATCGTGGTCCGGTATGGTCGTATTGGTATTTGGTATATAGAGACGGTTACGTGGTGCGCTGGAGTCTGGCGTACGTATATGACTGCCGAGTCGCTGCAGCAGGCTGGAGTAGGTAAAAAAATAACAACAATAATAATAATAATAATAATAATAATAATAATATAAATATATAATGTTAGAGCAGGCGATGGTATACCTGTTTGTGGTGTATAAGTACAGGACGTGCCGGAGTGCCGGCGTTGGCGTCTGTGTGAGCGGTAGAAGGGTTGGATGGAGAGGGGGGAACAGGTAAAAGATAATAACATAAAGAATTTCGGTGAGGGGACGACGCCGCTGCCGAAGTGCCGACCGGCGACCACTGCAATATAGCGGCTGCAGCTATCGCGTACGTTCCAGCAGAGTGCCGCGCAGATACGCTGCCGTCGCAGTGGCGCACATCCTGCCGAGTCACCGAGATCGACGGGAGGTACTTATAATAGGTATATACCTACCTGTATAAAAATATATACTATAAAATATACAATAATAATCGCCGATGCTCTGGTTTAATGCCGCCGTACCATAAATATTTATAAATTACATATAAGTACGTGTAGATAGGTCTACCTTGTAGAAGAACTGGTTATATGCGCGTATTTTTTTTTTAATATGATGTAGGTGATTATTAAAAAAATAATTTTAATTGATATGTTAAGGTCTATAATAACAATTATTAAATCGAGGAAAATTATATGTACCTATTATATTTATATCGTATAATACGGGGTGATCCACACTGATCCATATATTAAACGTAAGACACTCGCTATTTAATTTAACACTAAAATTGTTGAAAATATTTCTTATCATAATATTATAAGTCGTTATAAAATAAAATTTTTGGAAGGAAAAATTATATTTTTACTATATTTATAATTTTTATTTTGTTAGTTTTTTACATTTTTTAATTACAACATGACGTCAACAAATATTTTTACTACATATTCTGAATCATGATTATTAGAAGTATTTCTATCAAGATTATTGGAAAATTAGTTTATTAGTTATAAATTATAAATAGGTATTTAGAAGTTTAAATGAATGGTGGTCAAATACTATAGTGTCCCAACAGTTTTGCGGGGTACCCCTGAACCAATTCGCTCTGTATTCTAAACTTAAAGTTTAAATACCTATAAACAGTATAAACTATACAACTCCTAAACAACTCGTTCAAAATTCGATTTTTATAAATCAAAGTACCCCAAAAATATTCTGTTTTGGAATAAAGAATTAAAAAATATTTGTTTAGAAAAATTATGTATTTTAACGATTAGCGACTAAAAAATATTTAAAATTTTTCAAACATTAATAGTTTTTGAAATAATGAATGTTTTACGATAAATGGATCATCCGGTATATATTTGAACACATAGATATTCGGTTGTAGATACATGTACATTAGTGGATATATCTAAATTATAATAACCCAAGAGTCAAGACTGGAAACCGTAACTCGTAAGCCTGAACTACGGTACTTAATATAATATGCAGTTGTGAATTGAATACCTAATCAATCATATATATATTTGTAAAACATCAATGGTTAGGTTAGGTTAGAATTTTTCCAGACAGGGCCAATGGGGGGCCCAGTTATAAGGTAGGGCCACAAAAAATGAGATTTAAATAATAAAAATAAAAAAATTTAAATAAATAAAACAATAGGTACAAGCTAATTGCTACATTTTTATAATTTTATATGATTACAATTTACAACACTATAACAAAACTATTTTAAAATGATTCTGTGATTTTCATGTGCATCAGCAAACTTATTTATTTCATCAATGTCTATATAATATAATAATGACTTTGCTCTACGTTTTTCAATTGATATGATGTTTAAACTTGTAAGGTTACTGGTTAGTGTCTAATAAACTATTTTTTAAATAACTTTACTTTTCACACGTTTTATACACGAATATTTACGTTCACATGCAGGTTGCAGCTATAATGACACGGGTATTGCAGTTATAGCGTATATCAATATGCCAAAATATATGTACCTATAGCATAATTTATGTTTCTGAAAACGTTATTTCATATTCCTTAAGAAAGTTATGAAATTGGAAAACATCTTTAATTTTTAAAACATTATTTGTTTCATAATGGTTCATTGAATTTTTTAATTACTTTTTAAAATCCTTTTGGTATTTTTTTTATTCTTTTTTGTTTAACTTCTACAGATAGATATGTAATATTACAATTTTTCGTAGGACGATGAACCATTATCGTAGATTTGTAAAGAAACAGGTAATTAACTAATAATGAATACGATATGTCGAAGTATACTAAAACTTAATAAATATCTTAATACATTGTTTTCGAGTGTACTTCGTCATTGAGTACCGATATATAGTGTGTATAATATTACTATATAATATCATTGCAGTATACGAGAAACTGCGATTCTATCCGGAGACTGCATGTCAGCCCTTATACCTATATAAATACTAGATATTATTATATAGTCTAAATGTTTAATGTGTATAGATACTATAGAAATTTTTAATTTTTAAAGGTTTAATGTGTATAGGAATTAGTAATATACTTTTACGTTATGGCAAAAAGTTCCCAGTCAATAGTTATACGATCAATACTTATTAAAATTAAATTATGCAAGACTAAATATGATAACTAAAATCGTTATTTTCGTTTGAATTTCCAATTTGATGAAAATTTGAACTTCAAACAGTTCAAACATGCATACAAATAAAATGTAGATATATTTTGTGGGCTTGTGCCGCTTGTGGCTGTATACTTTTTAATTTAGAAGATAAAAAACTTATTACATTTTTAAAACTTCCCTAACCTATCCTACTCTTAATGATATATCACTATACCAAATCAAAAATAAATATTTTCTCAACTGTTAATTTGTAGTGATTAAAAGACAAAATGTATGTGGTATATATATCTATCTAAGAATTTTATAACAAGAATAATAAGAATTTTCATAAGAAAAAAAATTGTTGGAAAGTAGGTATAATAAGAAATCGTTTCCATGTATCAATGAGAAATCAACCGGTCGTTATTCTTAATTTATGAGATTTTTACGGGTTAAGAAATTAATTTTAGAAACGTAGATATAATGATATTATTTTTAAAAATCTGGGATCGTGTATATCTAATTTATTTCAACAAATATTATTTTAAAGTTGTTATAGATATTTAAATATTGTCAAGTTATTTTATGTTAAGATAATAATGTAAAAGATCAAAAACGTTTACTACAGTAAAATTTATTGTCTTGGAACTACATTTTATTACTCGTGTGTCGTGTGTTTATAGCCATTAGTGAAAATTAGAAATTACGAACGTATTAGTGTTTTAACTTTAAGCTGTAATGCACTAATGCGATCAACATAATATCAAATAATATATTACCAACACATTTATGTATTTACTTACTTTCTCTGATTTAAAAATTAAATTTTAAATTCAACATGATTAATCAGTATCATATACCTACTTTAGTTACATTTATAATTTATGTATTATGTCGAAAAGATATTTTTTATTACGGTTATGTTTCAAGTTTCAACACTACGTATCTACATCTTTACCTCCAATATGGCTATTTATACCATTTATTGCGTTATAATATGACATTGTACATAATAGAAAAAAGATTAAACATTATTTTTGTTTCAACATATTGTACTAAGTACATAATAGACAATAGTCAATAGTTAATACCTAAAAGTAATCCATATCTTAGATATGATATCTACACTCATTAATACGAACAATTTTTACTTTTTAAAATATATTATCATAAAAGTAATATGCATAATATAATATGTAACGAAATAATTGAATATAAGGTTCCCCATAAGTGTGTATATATAATAGTAGTTGGAAAATATTAAAAACATATCGGCGCGTTTTTTCCTATAACCGCTTTAAGTTTAAATTTTGACAAAATTTATTTAATTGAAAATTTACAAATTATTTAATTGTTAAAAATTTGTAGAACATTTAACTTTTCTAGCTAAAGATTAAAAATTTAAAACAAGGTTCCGCGTAAGTAGTTAATTCTGTGACAAAAAAATTTAAAAACTATTCAAACACAGTTCTTTTTATAGTTATTTTAAGTTCAAATTTAATATTAAATAACCGAGAATAACAATTTTAGTTGTATTGTTCATATTGTAATTGTTTTTTGATAATCAGATGATTAAACATTAGTCGTTCGTTTAAATCAAATATTAGGTGATGCGTATTACCACAGATTATATAATCTGTGGTATTACATCGACAATATTATTGCAGTCATAGATAATAAATTCTTGTTTGAGACACCAGTCTCCAATTTGGACATCAATAGTAACAAACGGAAAATTTCAAATGCCTTTAAATACCTTAAAAATTGTTGAAATATTTAAAAAATTGTATATCCAAATCACGGAAATATACAATAAGTGACCCCAGAAATCCATAAACGCTCACATTTTTATATTTGAATCAAAATAATTACATTGTCCTGAAATGTCACTGTAAAACGTGCTTTGGAAAAATAATTGAAATCCACAAAAAAGTACTTAACGCAGAAGTAAAAGAAGCTTTTTGTGCGTTAAGTTAAAGCGATTTGAAGAAAAGATAGAATTTTGATGTTCATAAAAATGTGAAGTCAACAACAATTCTAGATAGATAGATAAGCTCGTAAAAAGTGACAATTCCAATTTATGGCAAATTTTTTCATTAATATACGCTGTTCTGTGGGGATTGTTTTTTTCAATGTTAGTACAGTTGAATATCTTAAAATTTTAGATTCTGAGCGGAGCGAGGAATGTATTGATTTTACCCTGTTGTGTTTTAGATTCTGAACGAAGTGATGTTGATTTTACAATGATGTGTTTTTTTTTTTTTTTGTGTCTGTGTACAGCATAACTAGTCGAAATAATGCTTCAATTTCAAACTTTGGGGKTGGTTTCCGATGTAAAAGTGAATATCCTTGGTGCATTATAGAGGTCAAAAGTAGACATTTTCCAATAGTTTTCAAAAAAATCGAGAAAAACAAAAAAAAAATGATAGAAAAACTGGAATTTTCACGCAAAACCAGTTATTTTTTTATGTCTATCATCACATTCCGGGGCAGTAAAAATGCTTCGATTTTCAATTTCGCAGTACCTTATTAGATCAGAAAGTGAATCTAGATGGTAATTTGGGAGGTCACAAGTAAAATGTTTTCAATATTTTCTAAATAATCGGTATAAACTAAAAATTAAAGGAAAAACGGGAAATTTTACACACAATCAGTTTTCGACAAAATCGATTTTGGTTTTTGATGTAACATTAAAACAAATGACCATATAGATACATGAAATTTACACCGAATGTTTGTATAAGTATATTATATACACCATGCAATTTTCGAACAATATTAGTTTTTTTTTTAAATTAATATCGATAAACATTTATTTATTGCGTAGAAAAGCTTGAAAATTTAATACAAGGCTCCTAACAACATTGGATTATTACTAGATTTCTCATTTAGCGATTTTCTTATTTTAGTGTAACTCTAAAACAAACGACCGCAGATACTTGAAATATATAGGCATTTTTTATATTTGATAAAATTTTCAAAATATTTTGTTTTGTTTTAAACTATTTACTGGCATAGTGACATTTTAATTTTTCAACTATTTTAGTTTTTTTTTTTTTCTATAAATATCGATAAAAATGTATTTGTTGGGTAGAAAAGCTTAAAAATTTAATTCAAGACACCTAACATATTGTTATAATAGTAGTTGAAAAATATTAAAAATACATAGGCACGATTTTTTTTATAAGCATTTAAAGTTCAAATTTTGACTAAATAAGTAAAATACGGCAATGTTCAAATTATCTTAGATAGAAATTCATAAAAATTTTTATCTTTAAATCTAAGATTAGAAAATTTAATTCAAGATTCCTTATAAGTTTGTCTACCTTTATCAAAAAAAAAAAATGTCCACTGGAAAGTCAAATATTTTAATAAGTATTAATAATAATTAATAAGTAATAAATAATAATAATCTATAATATATCCTAGACACATAAACCGTCTCTGCTCAGAATCGTTTTTCGTATATACAATGATATAATATCATTGGATTCAAATTTAATTCCATCTATTACAGTAACCCACTTACTTTAGTAACCTTGTACTGTACAGAAGAGTGATATCCACTTTCCCGCTTTTTTGTGAATTGATATTTTTTCAATTCGAGGCACAAAATTTTGGGATTGATTTCACTTCCTTATTAACTTCAAAATTCAGAAACTTTTCCAACAATATGCCTATTCGGCAAAGAATTCAGGTACCTATTTCATCTCCCTTTTAAGCTCCAAATTCTACTTTTTCGACTATGAGCCTCTTTGGCTCAGTATTTTGAGATTGATTCCACTTCTTTATTAACATCAAAATTCTATAAAAGATATCTTTTCTTCAAATCGCTTTAACTTACGCACAGAAAATCTTTTTTACTTCTCCGAAGTACTTTTTTGTGAATATTGATGTATAATAAATAATAATATAATATTCAGATTACGATTATTGAATAACTTGATACAAAATCAATATTAGTTTGTTATTTGTTTCTATTCCGATATTTGGCCTATACCAACTACGGGTACGAATATTAATAAAAATAATATTATATTATACATCAAAGGTACCAATACTAATAATAAAACGACACACGAATACACGATTCGAGTTAAGCACCAAACAAATTACGCTATATATTTAAAATATCGATATTTTAATATACTTATACAGTATCGTCCAAACAGGATATAGCATGAAGGATAAAGCATAACTAGGGTTGCATTTTTTGTTTTTTATCTCCCAGCCAGTCTCCGGATTCACCAACTTCTATCAGCTAAAACGGTGGACCTAAGCTATTGAATAGGTAGCATACGTTTCGTTTCGGTGCCTTTACCGAGGTCGACAAGACGATAATCAGGGCAATTCACCGATCCCCGACGGTCGAAGTGGAGTAGTTTGCCATCAACTGACGACAAACGGGATTCGTCGACCAACTCGTCGTCGGATTGCCGAGAATCGATTTCGTCGCACGACCCATTTCGATTCAATCGTAATTCCAACCTTGTAAATACCTTAAAACGTATACGATATTATCTTTATCACATACTAATATTCATATTCATTACTTATAGTTAAATTTAAAAAAAAAAAAAAAATTGTATTCAACAATAAGTTATAAGTTTAGATGACATATGTCAGGAAAACTTTATTTAAATAAAAATAACTTCAATTGAAAATGTATTGAATGCAATTTTAAGTTTGCTTGAAGMTTTTATAATAATTCATAATTAATACCCTTAAAAAAACGTCATACCCAAATTTGTCGTCACTACAGACTTAAGTTTTGCAACAGGGAACATTTATTCTCAGTAGCTCACGTTCAGCTTTGTTGGTATAAAATTAGAGTGAATCAACTTATTATGAAACTTAATATTGGGAACATTATCTGTACTCATATGTCGGTGTCTTAACGATAATTCAGTTTTTAAGTAAGTTATATATACCCTAAATTTAACTTATTGAATTAGGATTTTCTGTTTATTGCATTGTTACAATTAATATTAATAGGTACAATGCACATTTTATTTAGCATAAAGAAATAGTTAGTAAACATGTAGTTGTTATGTGTATAGATAAATACTAATTAATACTAACTATTTAAAGAAAATGTAATACAGCTGACATAGGCCAATGGCAAGTTCCAATAGGTCAGGCCACTGGGAAATATATCGGTGGGCCAGCCTGTCCCTGCAGCTTGCTACAACATAGAAGTTGTATAGTAGTATGTAATAAAATAATKAATTGAAGATTTATTTAAATTCAATAACATATATTGTATAATTATATATCGTTGATTTGACACTCTTAGTAATATGATCTTAAAAATAAATTTACATTTTAAGATTTAGCTTTCAATATTTTTAGCAAAGTTGGTAAAAATAAATATGTATTTGTTTCTTGTATTTGAGTACCGCCAATTCCATATTCTAAAACGGATTGGCATTTAAAAGCTTCATCGTTAGATATAATATTTGAAACTATTCCGCAATTTAATACATCTTTTAGAYTGCCATTATCAAATAATTCGCTTACATTTTGGAATTTGGAAACAAGGTTATATAAAGTTACATAGCCTTCTAGACTAACATCGGGAATTTTACCATACTCTAAGAATAAGTACAGCCAAAAATCAACTGCTGGTAAACTTATATACGAGCTTCCACTTAAAGACTGTAAACATTTAAATACCAAAAGTATTTCTTCAGTTGACAGTTCTTTTGGATATTTACTTATTGCCACCATTAAGCTTAAGGCCCAAGGGCCAGTTCCTCCATTAGTTGCAGGATGAATCCGAAAAGCAGCTTCCATAATTTTCAAGATCAATAACTAACATTAAAACCAATAAAATTATAAATATGGACACAAAAATGTTGGAAATATTTTTCAAAATTACCCGATCTTTTTGATGGCCACATTTGAAAGTGACTAAAAATAAATTGAACAAATCCATATTTTTTAAAACTTGCCAATCACTTGTAGAACGTATACCATCATGAAGTATTTCAAAAAACCAACGCATGTGGAGTGTTTTATCCTTAAATCCAGAACTAATGAACACACACAAAAAAAATGAATACCATGTTAATATGTTATCATAAAGAGTGCATCAGGATACATACAATGCAGTTATAAACGTTTTCAATTCAGGAATATGATTAAGCCGAGCAGCAGGACGAGCCAAAAGTATTCTACAACAAGTAGCATCAATACCTTTCTCATGATTAGCCATAGCTAAAACCATTCTTCCTAAAAATAATGCTTGAATCATTGACAGTTGAGGAGGAGATTCCAAATGCAAATCTTGGATACCTTGTGCAACCCAAGAACAAAAATGATCCCAAAACAAGTTTTCAGCTCTTCTACTGTAGGAAAGTAAAAAAAAAAAGTAATGATAATAAAAATGTAAATAAATTATTAATATAATTATAGTTTACCAAAATAAATGAGATCGCAATAATGTTAATATATGATATGCAGCTTTTCGCATAAGGCAGTCGTAACTGCTTAAACAAGCCAATACCAGTGATAGACAACCACTTCTATTAAACTTTTCTATACTCAATGGGGCTTCCGTGGCCAACAAACTGCTAATCATCGGTAGAAAAAATGCTGGGTCAAACATTTGACTTGGATCTTTAGAGTCTTTGGTGGTGTACAGTACATTTTTTTGATCCTAGTGTTTAAATTTTAAAATTATGTTTTATTTAATGCATTGTAATTATTTCATTAATTGAATGCTTACTTTAATGTATAGAGGTCTGTTAATAGGAAAACAAGATATAGTTTCTTTCAGTCTTTTTAAAGGTATGTATGAAAGCACTTCAGTAGTAGAAGGAAAACTATTTAATGTTTTTGATATAAGATGATTTTTGACTTGATAATGTGATATGGCAAATGATCCCCACAAGTAAGGTCTATAATTAGACATTGGTATAGAATTTTCTTCATAATGAAAAAGAATCTAAAGTAATAAAAACATATTGTATGACCAATTAGTAATTTAGGTTTTTATTTTTAAATATAACCATTTACCCTAAGCAATATTTGATCAACTACTGATAATGATGCATTGTATGAGCAGAGGAAAAGTGGAACATGACTCAGCGCCATTATTGAAGGTTCTTTCTTAACTAAGGTTTCAATCAATCTCAATACTTCTTCTACAAATAAAAAAATTATTTGAATTTATATATTTTTTTAAATATCATTAATAAACATTTGATTAGCAAAATTATTATTTATTTGTTACTTTATGGCTTCTAAACATTTTTAGGCCATAAATGTATATTTTTTTGTTATCGATTTTTAACTTTTATTCACAATAATCAATTAAGAAGATGTCAACGCACTATTTGTTTTCTCTCTCTGACCCAYGCGTAACATAGACAAAACGCATTTACAAAGAATCATTTTTTCTATGTCTTTAAGTAATTTTAGGGTAAAAACCTTCCATTACAAAAAAGATAAAGAATAATATTTTTGAGGGAATGACATTTCGATTTTATATTTTATTGATATTTGACTTTCAAAATAAACAAAAAAACACTGTACATTTAAATAATGTTTAAATTATTTAGAGACAATATTTAGACAAATCGATATGTCATTCCCTCAAAAATATTATTTTCTATCTTTTTTGTAATGGGAGGTTTTATTCTAAAACTACTTCAAGATATAGAAAAAATGATTCTGTGTATATGCTTTTAGTCTATGTTATGAGTRAGCCAGAAAGAGAAAACAAATAGTGCGCTGACATCCTCTTAATATTAAAAATGAATTACCTTTTTGAATTTGTTTAGCATCTCGATTTAACATTATATTACTGAATTTTGAATATCCCGCAAGTAATTCAAAAGATTTTGATATKATAGATTTATCTATATTAGCTTTTTTAACTAATTTCCTCAATACTCTAATAAAACCATATTCAGGGTTTTCTTCTACTAAACCATATTTTATAGCTTTGATAATTATAGCATCCCAGTCACTAATTTGTATTGGACAGTTAGTTTCTAATAATTTTAAGTTATTAATAATTTGATTAGATAACCAAACAATATCATCACTGTAAAACAACATTAAATAATAAATACAATATGATGTTATACAAAATATAATACAATATCTTCAATAAAAATAACTCTTATTTATACCTTTCAGGAGGTAAAGAGAAAAGAGCTGTAATTAAAAACTGTGTAAATTCTAGTTCTTTATCGCATTTTGCAGCAACTAAATCTACAAAAGAAACTGCCGTTCTTGTGATTTTAAATGTTGACCAGTTGTTTTTTAGTTTAGTAAATAATTTATCACATTCGTCTTCATCTAAACAGTATAAGAAAATATAATAAACAACATGAATGAAATATAAATAATATTAAAACATTATACTATTTTAATGTGTTAGATACTCCTATATACATATTACATATAAGTTTTATTATTTATATTTGGTATACTGTACATTTTAATTAAGTATCATTTAATTCTACAATATTGGTGTTTATTTATTAATGTATTTCACATTCATGAAATCATGATAAAAATATTTTTTGTTTATTTAACATAAATTGCCTAATATTACTAAATCAAATTTAATCAAAAACTAAACTACATCATTGAATGAAGAGCTAGTACTATTATTGATCGAATCATAACATTATTTTTGACACAAAGAAAATGAAATGGAAGGAGCAAAAAATAGATTAAATAAACRTTTAGTATTTAATAAGGAAGTAATTATAGGAGAAAAACTGTTACAGAGTTTCTAAGTCATRAAGGAAGCTAACCGACTGTTTAATCATTAAAATATTTTTATTCTAGTTTAAGATCAAAGTATAAAAGATAAAATTAATTTAATAATAATTTAGCTTCTAATCAGGAAATCAGGTTAAAAAAATAATAATAATAATACATGGCAAGGATATAATGTTTTTGTTATTTAGATTCAAGTAATAATCTTAAATACTGAATAACTATTTATTTATTATGAAATACTTTAACCTGCACTTAATTGATTTCAATGAAAACACAAAAGGCTTTAATACGCTTTAAAATGTCAGTCTGTTATGCGTGTTGCATTCACTCATTTTGATGAACTATATTATTCACTATAATCAGTAAAACTAATATTTATTAAATTTAATAATTGTAATAATTATTTTTTTGTTATAATGGATCCATTTAGACGGTCAAGTGTCATTCCAAATAAAGTATGTAATTAATTTGATAAATATTTTGATTTAAATTTGTTTATATTTTATTACATTTTAAGGATGAATATTTGGATAATGCTCAGACATTTAACCGTACTTCAAAAATGTTCGAAGAATTTTTACATAGCTTTGAACAGTATGACAAGGAAGAACAGCACAAGAGACGTGATTCATCTTCTTTAAGTGACTGTGTTAAGGTACCTAGGAGAAGAGTATATGTCAAACAAAGTTATTTTCCTGTTGATGCATCATTTGTAAAGGCTAATCCAAACCATATTTACATAACTGATGTAAATGGACATTTGTACATTGTTAAGTATAAAGCAGTAAGATGGTAAAATAATTATATATGTTTATTAGGTATTAATTGTATTAAAAATATTCATACTTTAAAAATATATTTTAAGAAATGTGAAATATTGACTTAAACTTACCAAATTCAATCAAATGTAGACCTATAAAAATATCTCCATTTTCATTAAACCACTGTGGACTATCCATCAACATTTTATAAACATTTATTTTATCCTTTATATTTCTTATAAGAACCGGATCACATAACATTTCCGGGAGCCTTTGATAAAAAGCTGACAAAAGGTAAGTCCATTTTTCTACAGGTAAATCGTCCAAGTTTATATTATAGTCAATATTGTTATGTCGTGATGCCAAAAATAAAATTAAAGGATGTAAGGCTTCTTTTTTTGTATTTGAAATAAGATGAATAAATAACCCTAAAAAAGAAAAAATATATATTAAAATACCAAATGAGAAACGAAAATTAATTTTTTAGATTACTTTTCGGAATACATGAAATTTGTTGTGAATAAATTTCAAGGTATTTTAAAAGAAGATCCAACAATTCATAGGTTACAATATTTTCACAAATATATTCTGCAATATCTGTAAATTGTTGATTATCCAGGTATTTTTTGTTTTCAATAAATTTTTTCAATTTTACTTGGTAGTCTTCCATGATAAATTTGTAATCTTAACTTAATTGCAATCTATAAACAGTAAAAATATTTTATCTTAATGCAAACCACTAGTTTGAATTTTAAATTTTAAATATAAACATCAACATTTTCAACAAATTATACAAAAAAGGAGCGTATTTATTTGAAAAAAAAAATTGAACTTCTACCAAGTATTTTGCCATTTTTGCCCACAAGATAATATTTGGAATACAAATTTTAAGTTTTAGAAATTGATATTATGGTTTTTTAATACATTTAACCCGTCATTGGCAGTGTACACTTCATAAGTATGAAAACAACATAATGAAAAATTTCTCTCTATTGTTTTTATGATAACATTTAAAATTAATGTATTTAAATATTAATCACAGGCGAGATTCTGCCAAACCTACTCCTTCACCAAAAAAAATACTACCAAAACCTCTTTTGCTACCAATCAGCATTTTTATGTTCAAGCCACCTCTTCTGGTCAAAACTATTTTAAGCTTCCTCCAAGTGTTGAAACTTTATTTTCCTCTTTCATCTCTGAAATTTCTAATATCATAAAATCCTTCCTCTCTCCTTACTTCACTTAGTTTACTTCTAAATAAGTCTCAATTATAAACAATTTAAATATATCAAATTGTGTTAATCATGTTATACCTCTTTACTTACTATCTGTTCATTACCTGTCTTTTAAATATTAATATCTTATACTCGGTACATTCATATTTTATATTTATATTTATATAATACAGACCTTAATGGTATTGTATGTTCAAACTATCAATTTATTGTATGTTATGCTATTTAATACTCTATCTTTGTTTTGTTTTCGGTTATAATTTTATTTTTTTGTCATTATATAATTGCTATTGTTGTATAAGTATAATTGTTGAACTTACTATAATAGTTATTCTAGTTGCTAATAAAAAAAAATATATATATATATATTAATTACATTGTATACATATAAGACATTAAAAATTATTATTATTAATACCATTTGTTGAATACAATTATTCAAAGATTATTTTCTCGAAGCTAGCTACTAAATGCTTGGTTAAAAACACACCCAATTCATGTATTTTTGAATCAAAATAAGAAATTTTTAATCCACACATAGGTGAAATTTCATTAAAAAAATCTAAGGGTGCTTAAGCTATGTATTTTGTCATTTTTGTTTTTTTTTTTTGTAAGAATTGTTTGATACATAAGCATGGGCATTTTTAAGGGTGTTAATTTTAAAATTGGGGGTGCTTATATATCCTATGACAAATTCTGAACGTTAAGGTAATTTTTTATTTTTAGGAAATTTTAGAATTGTTACAGTATTTTTGGAGATTTTGAAATTTTATTTAAAGATATGGTTTATATAAATTTAACAAACTAAAACTATGTACACTGTACAGGTAAATAAATATACGATCTGAACCTATAAAAACTAATAAATAATGAATGGAAATAATCGAAAACTGTTTTTAAATTTCAGATTACAGAATTCCAAATGATTATTGGGAGTTCTGCCTTTAAAACTTTTTTATAATTTTTTAAAATGTACCTATATTATCATCAATTAAACTTATTTTAGAATTAAAAAAAAATAATAATAATTTAGGTAGTGTAWTTTTATTTTTTTAATGCATTATTCAGAATTTTTAGATCATTAAAATCCCTGCATAAATTAGGTTACTATTAAGTATACAGATGCTTAAAAACAATTAACTGATATAATAGGCAGTAGTAACTTAAAAAACCTTAACACGCTATTCAATATTTTTCCTCTACAAGGCAAATCAATGAATCAAAAATAAGTTTTTGTCAATAAGTGACAATTGCAAAGAAAACCTTATAAAAATCAGTGAGGAAAACAAAAATGTAAAATTTGATCCGAAAACATTTTATTATAATATGATAATAACTCATCATATAATCAACAACAGGTTATAAAATACCAAAAAAAAGTCTACTAAATAATTTTAAGGGACCATTATACTTATTAATTTATTATTKATTCATTATATTTCTAGTAATTATTCATGTGATCTAGAATCTAGAACTACTATAATACTTAACAATAATTTATACAAATTCGTATAATATTAACTTGAATAAGTCATTTGTATAAATAAAAATTTTAATTTATCTACGTATCAACAAATAGAGTATTGCTATAACTAGGATTTATAAAGATATTATTTTTTATAAAACGAAACCTAATGCATAGGTGTAATATTAATAACTAAACATGTTTTAAAATTGAAATTGCCATTTAAACTAAAATACTTACGTTAATTCTATGTATTCAATATACAAATCTTGAATAATAACAACGGTCAAACTTTAACAATAAATTATTATTTTTATATACCATTAAATATTCACTAATAACTAATAAGAAAATATAAGTAAAATGAATTTTTTAATCTTTAAATGTAAAATTTCAAATTTGAAATTTCTTAGGTTATACCGCGTTGGATAAATATTAAATATTATTTAAAATACAATCATCTATTCTGTGATACAATCATAGACCTTAAGTATAAGGTCTATGGATACAATCACGAGTAAAGCAGAATATTATCATTTATTATCTATATTTCGTAAGGTTGGTAATGACCAAAGATCTGCCAACGTTCCTCGTTATCAAGAGCTGCAAACAGTATCGTGATAACGATTAACGACATGCCATTCATCATAGACTTATAATATTAATATATTCTAAGTCTATGCCATTCATAGCCAAGACCCAAGACGTAAACTAGACGTGTCTAGTTCCTGACTGAAATTCAACATATGATTTCTTAATCTTTGGAGCCTGGACTCTGGAGGATGTTAAATTTGTGAAGATAGCATATTCTGCTTCCGTCGGTTTACCTCTTATCACCTCTAATAAGGGAGGTAACCGCATTCCTGTATATTCTATTGCCTACATATATATTATAAGGAATTATAATAAATGTATTTATTTTTCAGATATAATTCAAGATTCAAGATGGGTGGATACAATTAAAACAATAATTTTCTATCATTATGTATACCCATCGAATTTAAAAAACTATGTTCCATACAATTATGATATAAATACAAGTTACAAAAATCACCGATATAATTAACTAAATAGTAAATACTATACTTTTACTTAATAAACCTTCCAATTAATTTATTTTACAAAAATATTCTACTATTTTCATTAAATAGTATTTATTATAACCCAAATTTAGATGTACCTACATCATAATTAGCTTGAGTATTGTAAAATGACAACTTTATAATGAACTTAMATATTTTTATTGTTATGTAATTTTTAAGTTTTAAGCTCAGTACCCAAAAGTATAAAAAAAAAAAATAATAATAATACGGAGCATCTAACCAATAAATGATCACATAATTATTTTAAATACATATAGCCTGATATTACCTATTGGCTATTACTCACTGAAACATTTGAGGTTCAAAATAATTTTGTTTTAGATTTTATCATAATCATTATTAAAGTTTTTGAGTAAAATAATAATTATAACATTATACAATGTATGCATGAAACCTAAAAACCTTTCATTACAAGAGGTATCCACCTAACAATGTTAATTTAAGCATAAAAAGAATGCAATACCTATATAAAAGCGATGATTAAATATAATTTACAATACACCTACTAGAAAAATACATAAAAAATTAGAATACTAATCCCAATATAAACATTAAAGAATATGTCYAGGACTTCTAAAATTTCATTACTGAGTATTAGATTAGGTTAGTAAATTCCATTCAGCAATAGCAGTAGTTTGACGTATGTATATTATAAAGTTGATCAACAATTGTATCGTTTCTATAAAATTAACTTTAAACATTGGTAAAAAGGTGTTAATATTGCAGAATTAGTAAATATAAAAATTTCTAAATGTTATACAATGAGTTTTCATTAAATATATTGAATCAAAAAAWGTAATTACACTTMAAATAACAATATTGTCAATTTTATCTCTAAAAGACCTCTTATTATTATCCAAAATTATTATGGTTTTCWAGAACTTATAGAGAACATAATCCGCAACTTATATAAGTAATAACATTCGAAAGACAACAAAATTATTATTATAAACAAGTAGTTTTAAAATAACATTTAACATTCTCTATTAGAACAGACAACTACATACATGCTACATAATTATATGAATACAACTCCATAHTGTTACTACCTACCATTAGAAGTGAAGTGACAAATATACAATTATTTKTTCAATATTTCATTCGTCACAAAATATCTACACTTTGAATAGGAACAACCAGATCACATAGGCTGCAAAAAAAAAATAAAACGATAAAAATAATATAAGATATTTATGGAATTGGAGCGATTCAAACACAAAGTACAATTTAGACAATCATTTAGGCGTGACCACCAAAAAATATGCCATTCAAAATATTTTTAATTGAAAGGGAGTTTAATCAATATTCAAAACTTGTATATTTCAAAGGGGGCACGAGGGGGACTTGGGCTCCAGAAAAATAACACGATTATAATATTTACGATATCGGCAGCCATTCGGCAGAGCGGTGTATTTTCTCTATATTGTGCTGTATTTTATTACATATATTACTACATAATATGTTATTAAACAGTAGTTAAAAGCTGACTTAGTATTTAAGTGTAGTTTCCTTACCTTCTAAATTCTAAGATACAACTTTGCCTGGTTAATATGCTAGAATATAATACATATTTACAGGTAAAATATTATAAATGATACAGTACACTGTATATGACACATAGTATAAATTTAAACAAGTTATATAAATATAATATAAATAGAGAAATATTGAATCATACAAAAATCATTACAAAATATACATATTTATTTACCTACACAATATCTTACAGTTGAATATTATTTGTTATTTACATTTTGATAGTATAGTAAATAATAATTACTAATTAGTATCTAGTCGCTTATTGTATATTCAATATTCATAATGGTAAATTAGAACTTATACGCAGACACGTATTACAATTTACAATAATGATGATATTGCTGTATAAATATTTAATATCTTTTTTAAGTAAATCCTTTAATTCTATAACGCAATTTTTTTTAAACTGCAAATGACAACTATGAATAATAAATAATATAATACAATACAATCATAATATTAATTAAGACTTATGTTTATCAGTTTATGTATTACCACTAAATACGGTATTAGGTTTTAGTTATAATATGTCCATTGTCCATGTAGATGTATGGTATATTCAATTATAATGCAGTTGAATTCAGTTAGCATACAGTAGGTTCATAATATTATAATATACGTGATAACATACAACTATATGAAGTATAATTATAAATAAATATACATATTATATTACAAATTTGATTTGACATTGAAAAGTGTAAAACTGTAAACCATATGGGTTCTAAAAATAAATATAGATTATTTGCTTACTAAAAATATAAAATATAAATATTATTGATAAAAGAATAATAAATAATAATATATAAATCAATGTAAGAATAATTGCGATTTTTTAATAAAAATATAGTAATAAAAAAATACAGTGAAAAAAAAAATTTTATATATCGGTACCTGCTATATGTAAATATATTATTTGAATGTAACATTTGTTCGATTTCTGAAAAAAATCAAACAAATAGATTGGGACTTTCTTTTGCCAATTTTACTGGAAGATTTTAACAAAGTCAAATAAATATTTTAGATAACTTAAAGTTTAGTGTTCAGGAAATCAATTTGTCGGAAAGAAAAACAGTTGATCAAGCTAAAAGCGATGATTGCCATAGAGAAC